TGGCAGTGCGAAGCATGCGGAGCAGCCGAATTAAATGCGTCCTCAGAACCTGACCCTGTAACATGGACATCTTCTATCGATTTCTCCTTACTCGCTACCCCAGCATCTGGGCACCACTCACCACCACCAGGCATCAATCCATCTATGAACATTCGACTCTCTTCCTGAGCTTCTGTTGTAATTTTAATGGAATATAATCTTCCATTATAGATAATGGAAACTTTTTCTGGGATTTCCGAAGCACACTGAACTTCCAACAAAATCTTAGCTACATCAAACCTTGACCTATTACAAGTATCTTCATCAACCAACAACACTTTACCCCACAAACTTCCCAAATTCATGAAGAAACTTTCACTCCACACTAATAATGGAACGTCCGACAGAATAATCCAGGGTTTTAACTCTAATTTTGTTCTCATAACCCTCCAACAATTCCAGCTCGTCAAACCATAGAGAAACCCAATGCTCCCTATTTTGCCAACACACCTGTCGAGCAGATTCATATTTGAATTGTAAAACCACCAGTAATTCATGCCAGATACTTACCTTCACATCTAATCCATCCGCACAGAAAGCAGTCTGAACTATATCTTCATTATACATATTTTTTATTTTTCCGACCAAACAAGATTGTCTCCACGCGACCTCCTTCTCCGCAATACGAATGATCTTGTTTTCCTCTCCGTTTTGAGAAGTTTTCCTCACAACTTTATCATCCTCAAACATCACATGAATCACATTATCCTTACCTGATAATATAGAACGTTGAGAAAAATCGACATGTTCCTTAACTCTTCCTTCAACAAACTGATCCCCTCCGGCTACTTCCTTGAAAGACCTGGAATCCCTTATCGAGGGTAACCAAACTTTATTGATATTTCTGTCATCAACAGACCTCTGAAACTTTGGATCTCCCTTGTTGTCGTGAAAAACTCTAATCTTAAAGCCATCGATAATCCTCCCCATCAGCTCTACGGACCGCTAAGTCTGCTTCAGATTTCCTTCTGAACCTAACAAAAGCAAAAGTTGAGCTGGCTGCTACTCTTTTCCTGCTTCTGAACGCTATAAACACATCGATCACAACTCCATAAAAGTTGAACACCTCCTTAAGGATTTTGGGATGAATCCTTTTGCTCACATTATTAACAAACACAGAAAAATATTCCAGGTGTCTAGGTGTCTAATGTTACAAACGTTATTATTTTAGGTGTCTGAGCCGTAACAACTGTTAAAAAACTCCATTAAGTGACATGTATTACTTTATGAGAATTTTGAGAATTTTATTTAAAAATAAATAAAAATATTTTTATAATTAAAAATCTAATTTCTCTTAAATTGCAAAAAAAAAAAAAATCCTAAATCCCTAACTTTAATCTGCCAATGTCATCCTTGCATGCCATGACCATTGTTGTCGACATTGTCCTTATCATCTCCCTAATCATATGTCATCATCCTTATCATCGATTGGCCGTTGGGATTGTGTGGGATCGTGATTTATAGTGTTAGGGTTCTTTGGGGTCACGTTGATTGGTCGTCGATTGTTTCTTATTCCGGTGACTTTTCATGGGGTTATTGATCATCAAGCGGAGGTTCAGCAATTGACATGAGCTTAGCATTTGAAATCAAGGTTTTGAAAGTTTTGAGATTTTTTAAAAAATTGAAATATTTAGGTTTTAAAAAATATAATTTTTATTTTTATTTCAAAAAAAAAATAAAATTATCAGAACTTGAAGCGTGTCATTTAACTAGATTTTAACGGTCGTTACGATCGAGGCATCTAAAGTGATAACATTTGTAACATTAGACACCTAGATGGATCGAAAAAAATATTGGACACATATTTAAAAAAAATCAGTATAGTTTGGACAATTATTTTCTAATTAAGCCTATTTTTACTAGGGTTAATTTTTTATTTAAACACCGGTATTCGATTTATTGATCGACAATTTCAGATCGTGTTTTATAGATGCTCATTATAGTGATGACCTTCCAACTCAGTTTGCTCTATTCGTAAATATCATGAATCGAACTCTTAATCTTATTTGAGAAATCTAGTATCTCATTCTACTAGACCGTTTGATTGTTGTTTCGTTGAAACTAAACTTCAATACATTGTAAATATAATATTTTATTAATTAAATTTAATCGAGCTTAATCTAATTCATGATAAATTTATTTTAAAGATAAGCATATGTTGGTATTTAAATTATATAGAAAAGGTTAGAAATATTCTACACGTAATAATTTATTTGAACAATTACGAGTTATTTAGCTAAATAGTATAATTTAGTCAAGCTAAACGGAATGAAAGTAGCTATAATGAGAGGCAGAAGCAGGCATCGGACAAAAAGTAGCTATCGGTAAAAATCAATGGGATGATTACCGGTGAACTACTAATCGTATTTGTTGGTAAATGCATGAATTGGCCGGTTTAAAAGGCAAATTCCGCAACAACTCTTCATTAATGCCGTCTTCCATAAACGCCAAACAACATTAATTCCTCCATCCACTCTATTTGATTTCAAAGTACAGCGAGAAGGGTTTTATGTTAAAAGAAAGTGAATTTTAAAAATTGTAAAAGAGAATGAATTTTTAAATTATAAGAAGACAAAAATATATTATTAATAAAATATTTAAAATATATGATAATTTAATTACTTTAAAAAGATAACTGTTCTAATCTATTTATACATTCTTTGATGAAACTTATAACCCCATATTTAGATTATACTATTATGTATTTGAATTGAAAAAATATATTTTATGTTGAAAAATATATAGTTATGAAAAAAAATATTAACAAACTAATATCAAAATATAACTCAAATTTTTATATTTAAATATTCTTTTTTCAGATTATTGGAGAAATACAGTGGGCTTAATGTTTTATTGAGACAAATTGTATGAAGTTCACGACACAACGTGGGAGAATATGGGGAAGGTGTGTCAAAACGGGAAGCAAAGGGCAAAAAGGGAAAAGAAAAGGTGCGGATGACTCTAGGGTAGGCGTAAGCAGAAGCGGCAAAAGTCTCTCCCACGTGTCGGATGTGGGTTTTGGCTACGGTCAAATGCCGGTGCCAATAATGCCACGTGTGTGCCTAATATTCCAAAAAAACTTATGAAGTTTGAATGTTTGACCGTTCCATCCTCTCTTTCATCGTCCCTAAAAAGGCACCCTTTTGATTGTATGCAACTCGGGTGGCGTTTAGTTCGCAATAAACTCTTCAAATTATAAGGAATTGGAATATAATTCTATCATTTTTTTTATATTTGATTCAAATTTTTAAAGAGAATTTGAATTAGTCATGACTTCAACTTTTCATCAAAGGAGGGAAAGTGAATTCTATCTATTCTATGATCGAATTCAATATTTTTGTTTGAGAGAATTGAAATTTGACCATGCTACCCTTATCAATTTTTTGGTAGCTTATTCATATATTGAATAAAAATATATTTTTATTATTTCGGGTCGGGTTTCTAATTCATATATTTGGGTTGATTCAGGTGAAATTTTATTTTGGTCAGGTCGGGTCGGCTTTTTTAAGTGTTATATTCGGGTCGGGTCGAGTTCGGGTTTACGGTGAAAAATACCCGACCCGACCCGAAAATATATATAATTTTACCTTATATATTTGAAATAATTACAATAATACCCCTCTCTATATAATTTTTTTTTCAATTAAGTCACTATTTTTATTGAATAAAAATAATTTTTTTATTATTTCGGGTTGGGTCGGGTTGGTTTCTAATTCATATATTTGGGTAGGGTTGGGTTTCTAATTCATATATTTGGGTCGGGTGAAACTTTATTTTTGTCGGGTCGGTTTTTTTTAAGTGTGATATTCGGGTTGGGTCGGGGTCGGGTTTAAGGTGAAAAATACTCGATCCGACCCAAAAAATATATAATTTTACCTTATATATTTAGAAATAATTACAATAATACCCCTACATATAAATTTTTTTCAATTAAGTCATTGTTTTTATTGAATAAAAATAATTTTTTATTATTTCGAGTCGTGTCAGGTTTCTAATTCATATATTTGGGTCAGGTCGGGTGAAACTTTATTTTAGTCGGATCAGGTCTCGGATGGAGGTTCCCTTGTTCTCGAGTCGGGTAGACCAAAAACCCGACCCATGGTCATCCCTAATTGGGATGATTTTAACTTATGATGTTTATTAGCATGATTTTTATAATTTATTAAAATGAATAATCAATAAAATTAAAATTTAATATTTTTAAAATTTTTATAATATGTTGTTACGTGTAATTTATAAAACAAACTAAAATTAAGTAAAAAAATAAGAAGGGTAATCTTGTCATTTTATATTACTGAAATCAAATTCATCTGATATGTCTGCGAATCAAACAGAATATGAAATTCGATTCCAATTCCTGACAAATTTTAATTTTTTCACAGATTTCAATTCTTTCATAAACAATCGAACGAACCAAATGTCACTTATGGTATTCTTCGCAAACTTCTCCTCCGCCTTCCCACGCTCCTGCCCTGATTCTCTCTCCCATCTTTTAGATTACCAAGAGTTTCCCAATTGGATATTTCAATATTTCAAGATTTCTTAAAAAAAATACACCATTTAATTACTGTAGCCGTATCAAATTAGAAATTTATTACAAAAAAAGTATCTAATTAATTTTATACTTAATGAAAGAAATTTAAAAAATAATCAATAAACGTATGTTTAAAATATAAAAATACATTAATAAGGTTAATATATATCTAAAATATACATTAATAAGTACGACTGGAAATGTTTCATTACTAGAAGCCACCTTTTGGTCTTCCCATTGGAAGATGTTTTGTCGAGCCTTTCTGGTTTCTGTCTCTTGTATCTTTCTATCTTTTCATCCTGACTTTTTTTTTTCCATATAAATATTATATATATAATTCAAACAACATAAAGATATGTTGAACCAAACCACAACCTAATATTTGAGGCCTCACCCTTCTTTTTTCCCTCGTTCTTTTGTATTTCGTGTTCATAATTTCTCCATGTCGGATTTTAGAAACTTGTACTACCATGCGAGTTCATTCAAGAATGATCACGATCAGCAAAGTTTTGGGGATGAAACTGATAGCATCTATAGGGTTTCGTCATCCTCTGTTGATCCTTCGGTCATGAGCTTCCCTGATTGTTTACACACTACTTCCATGGACTACGGTTCACTTGAAATGGCTTTTGGTCTGTCACCGTCATCGTCGGAAGTATTTAATTCAGTCCAAGGAAGCAACCGGGCGACGAAGCAGCTGGTCGGTGCTGAGGATTTAGGAGGCGGTACCGGTGAAGTTACGGGGACTCTTAATTCTTCTATTTCTTCTTCATCCAGCGAGGCTGGTTGTGAAGAAGATTCAGGCAAGAGTAAGAAAGATGTGCAGTCAAAAGGATCAGAAGACGGAGGTGAAAGCTCAAAGAAAGGGTAAATTAACCAAGTTTTTTTTTGGCTTCATTTTCATAATATTGTAAAAAAATCTGGTAAGTGTAACTGTTTATTTTATCTAACAGGAACAAAGCAAAAACGAAAGGAGAGAAAAAGCAAAGGGAACCACGATTTGCTTTCATGACTAAAAGTGAAGTTGATCATCTTGAAGACGGGTACAGATGGAGAAAATATGGACAAAAAGCTGTGAAGCACAGCCCATATCCGAGGTTTGGTTCTTTTGATTTCTTAATTACCTGCAAAACCATGATCTTTGCATTACACCGCCCCATTCTTTTGACTACACCGAGAAGAGTCAATGTGAAACTTAACCTGCAAGCAATAACTTGAGGGTTTCAGTATTTGACTTTGCAAAAAGTTAACTTTTCTTTTCCTTTTCGTTTGGTTCAGCCTTTCTAAGGAAGCAAACATAAGCTTGTTGTGCAGGTTCTTTATCATTAGCTAAGGCACAATATTTCCGGGTTTTTTCAATCAATGCAGAAGCTACTACAGGTGCACTACACAAAAGTGTACAGTGAAGAAGAGAGTTGAGAGGTCATTCCAGGACCCGTCGACTGTTATCACAACATACGAAGGCCAACACAACCACCCACTTCCGACGACACTGAGAGGAAGCATGGCTGGTCTATTTCCACCTTCCATGTTAACCCAATCGCCACTGGGGGGACCAAACTTCCCACACGAACTGCTCATGCAGATGCCTAATTATCACCATCAGATGAATAACCAAGCCACTGCTGGTTCGATGTTTGGACAAAGCGTTAGCCCTTTTCAGCAGTACCTCCATCACCCGGCTCCGGACTATGGACTTCTTCAAGACATGGTTCCTTCCAGGTTCCTTAAACATGAACCATGAGTCTCCAACTCTCTTACTTCTACATCTTTTTCAGTTTACAGTATGTATATATATACGTGCATATATGTGATTTAGTTAATTTTATTACTAGCTTCATCTATCTTCTCTCTAGAGCTAGCCTAAGAATTATTCTTCAATTACTGGTCTGGAAGGGCCTAACACCAAGGACTAGATGGGAGTGGGAATCTTCTTTCTTCCTTTCCTTTTCTTTTCTCCCACTTGAAACTTGGTTGAGTCCTTCACATAGATAGCGGTATGGTTGGTTTTTGAAGAACAAGAAACCTGGTTTTAAGAGGATTTGCAGACGTGTAATACTGGATTATTAAAGCTGCATTTTTATATGCATGTTCGTTTATCATTATCGTTGATGGAATTATTGATGCAGAATTTGAAAATAATAATTTTTTTCCTTTTTTTCCCTGGGCCGGCTATCTAGCTTATAACCTGAATAAAAAAAGCTGATGAGTCATCCTGCATGATATTGACAGGGCTGGAACCTTCTCTAAATCATATTTAAACAAAAGGAGGCTCCTAATAAAACTATGAAAACATAATTATACTAAACGCCGCATGTCACACGAAAAGGAGTATAATATCAAAATTAATTAAAATTAGATATAAAATCAAGCTATAAAATAATAAGAATATATCAACATTTTTATATTGTTTATAATGCCTTTTTCATAACGTAATTATAGTACAGGTACATGAATTGTTTGATCTAAAATTTCATGGCAAATGACCTAACATTCCCCTAATTTGATTATTTTATGTAGTGTCCCTGTTCAGAACCCTTTTCCACCGGTATTCGTACAAGAAATATTCCAGCCATAGTAGTATATACGACATTTGACACATAGTAGGGTTAATTAATTGAATTTAATGTAAATTTATGATATTGTTAAATTTGATTTGAGAGACGTAGAAGCCACGTTTTCAGTCAAGTCTTGAACGAAATTATTGGAGTTTAGTTTCGTGTTGGGGTTTCCAAATACAAGGGTGTCAAAAATACAAATCGTATATAAATAATAATATGATCCTGCTCCTCCTTCGCCCCCGCCTAATTAAAATATTTAGGCAAAATGGTAATCTTTGTCCCTATAGACGTAATTTGTCATTTCCGCTCTTATTATATTTTCACATTAATTTAACTCTCGGAATTGCTCAATTGCATTATTATATATCATATATCTAATTTAAAACCTTAAATTATAAACTATATACTATGACCATATTATTTCTAAACCATAAACTTAAAACATTGACTTGGAGTTTATAATTTCGGGTTTTAAGTTAGGCGAAGAGTATAAAATGATGCAATTAAGCAACTTTGAGTGCTAAGTTGATGCGAAAATATGATAGAGACAAAAATAATAAATTGAGTATATTACGCGGACAAAGATAAACCTTAAGCTAAATATTTAATTCCTTTTACTTGGATTACTGTGAAGATTTAGATGCAAAAGGAGGATTAACGGACTGTCAAATTGGATCAAGCTAATGTATCTGCCCATCATTTTCAAGCCCAAACAAGAAGGAAAAAAAGAAAATTTAATTTGATACATTTCTAAAATTATTAATAAAACAAAATTATATTTTTTTTCAGGAATAAACAATGTTAAAATATATATGTAATATTTTATAAAATAAATATTTTTATTTTTATTTTTTGAAACACTCTAATCTTTAATTTTTCATTTTTAGTCAAAGTGATTTTTTTATTTTGAAAACTGTTAATATAATATTTACATAAGTGTTTAATTATTGATATATTTTTATCGATGTAAATATATAATTTTGTTTTAATTTATCTTTTGTTATTAAAGTTAAGATATTTTTGTATTGTTAAGTCACGTGATATTTGTTTTTATTAGTTATTCTCTAAAAGAAGATATTAATGATTTAAAATAAAATAATTATACATTTAGTTAGTTAATTATCATTTTAATTTTATTCGGGTTATTTATTATTTTTTAAAAGAATCATTATTGATGTTATGTTTTATTTTTATTTTTGTCACTTGCCGTTAAAAATTAATAAAATTGTTGAAAAATAATATTTTTTTCTTAAAAGTAATTATAAAATAGGATCTATTCAAAACATTTCTTAATCATTGATAAGATATACAACGTAAAACGCATTCGCTTGAACTCGAAACTTCTAAGAAGAATAACACTTATTTTTATTAACGGGATCACTCAATAGAATCAATGATAAAATAATAACAATTAAATTACATATTAGATAATTACAATTAAAAGAATTAATTGATAATAAATGTAATTTAGATGACAAATAAAACATTAAATAAAAAATAGAACAGTCTCCTTACATAGTGAATTTTGCAAATAGAACAGCGCTCAATTTTGTAAATCGAAAGTATTTATGACGGACGAAAGATAATAGTCTATTATATTATTAGAACGACAACTTAGCAATGATATCCCATCTAATATCAACAATCAATCTCCGTCTTAATCTCAAATATGTTACAAAATACTTAATATCAAATAATATTAAAATTTTGTTAAAATTTTTATAAAAAAAAATTAAAAAATATATTTTAGGGTAAAGTATATAAATAGTCCACAAACTTTTAGGGTGCTTGTATTTTGGTCACCCAACTTTTGAAACTTGCAATACAATTATCGAACTTCTAGTTCGTTTTCAATAAGGTCTCTGTTGTTACCTCGTGTTAGTTTTTGTTGGTGTGACACTTAACTACAGTCAACTCCTCTCCTTCTTCTTCTTCCCCAAAAGTTTTCACAGTAAATCCTAAATTTTGTCCATAATTTTCATTGAACTCAGTGGCGTATCCAGAAATTTATAATGGGGGTTCAAAATTTTAATTTTCTTTTCTTAAAAATAATGGGAGTGTAAAAAAAATTTCCATTTTTCTTTAACATATTATATTAAATTTTACTTTTTTTCCTAAATAATGGGGATGCACTTGACCCCTAAGGGAATTAGTGCATCCGCCCCTGATTGAACTTATCGAAGGTGAAGAAAAATGAAGAATTCGACTCAAGAATGCATGTGATGGCAGCAATGAAAACTATCTTATTCATTTGTTTCAGACTCAAATCCCCCTTATCAGTTTATTAGTTCTCAAATGAAAGGAAAAAAAATATTAAATGACACAGAATTATTTGGGTGCAGAATTTTATTGATTTGGCTGGAAGTGAACGAGCATTCTTTTGACGTCCCTAATTATTTGGATGCATTCCCCACTCGGTATCCTAGATGCATTAACCCATGTCTCCAAGTGTTTGTCCCAGATATATAGTCTCATGTAATCAATTATTCCCAGAACAAGCTCTTTCCGTTCCTCATCCACTCCGACCAGTAATGAATAGTCCACGACATCAACCGAATGAAAACCACAGAATACAATGTTCAAACACTGCTGCTAGAATCGAAATACAGTTGGGCAAAACAACCTAAAGTGCAATGGAAGAACTTCGTTCACATCATGAAAATCTCGGTTATGGCATTGGTCAACTTGGAAGGTGACAAACCATTTTACGAGTTCATGTCAAAAGCAACTTACCGCCAGAAAAGATGTGTCGTTCCAAATAGCTCTCTCGAGACTTCTCTTCGCCGTGCTTCCAAGAGAAATGGGCTCTATTCGCAATGTTTCTAACAGATTCATGTCTAGCAATACTTTGTTTCTTCCAGCTGTATCTGGATTATATCGTGATCGCGCAGAGCCCTTGAGATCATAAATCCTAGATATACTTTTTTTCTGAAAAATAGGTTCTCCATCTCCACGAGATCCATTTTGTTTCCTTTCCATCTTTCAGGTGTTTGCAGAGACCTATCAAGCCAACTAAAAACTTTACAATTAGAACTGATATATTAGATCCTCTACACTGCAACTGGAGACACGGAAACAAAGCTTTGAAAATGAAAAGAGGACAACCATTGGACTTATCAGCAACCCATTCATCATAATCTTTGGAACTAAGAGCATATGATATTATACTTGTAGGATCATTGTCATAAACAGCAATGACTATATCACTATTGCCCCTCTGCGCAAGAAGTAACCGAGCTCCTTCACCCAAATAATTGTGTCATTTACTATTATTTTTCTTTCATTTGAGATCTAGAAGACTGATAAAAGGGGGGATTTGAGTCTGAAACAAATGAATAAGATAGTTTCCATGGCTGCCGACACATACATTCTTCGGTCAAATTCTCCATTTTTCTTCACCTTTGATAAGTTCAATGGAAATTAAGGACAAATTTTAGGGTTTACAAAGAGTTTTTGGGAAGAAGAATAAGGAGAGGAGGAGTTAACAGAAATTAGGTGTCACGTCAATAAAAACTAATGGGAGATAACGGCAGTGACCTTATTGAAAATAATTAAAAGTTTGATGATTGTATTGTAAGTCTCAAAAGTTGGGTGACCAATATGCAAGTACCCTAAAAGTTTGGGGACCGTTTATATACTTTACCCTATATTTTTTAAATATGTTATACATTTAGTTAATAAATTTTAACTAAACTTAGATAAAGAGGAGAAATTGATTAGTTTTTGAATGAACCACGATGAAGGTCCATGTTTCACAACATATTTTATGTTTCCACATCAGATCTATCCCCCCAAATCCTAATATAACATATAGAGTACCACAGTAAAATTATCAAATCTAATATCCACAATTTTAGGCTCAAATTATGATATATATATATATATATATATATATACTTTCATATTTTATTAATTACTATATTAGTATTAAATTAATTTATTTTGACATTTAAAAATTGTAAGTTAAAAAACATGCAAATAATTATTTTTTAGTTTTATTTTTTATTCTTTATTTATAAATATTACTACTTTTTAAATCATTTTAATATTTATAATAATACCAAACTTGAAAAGTTAGAAAGTACACAACATTATTAAGTTATAAAGTTAATCCTAACTACACGGACTTATTACATTCGGGATGTGTTATAATAGCATAGTTAATTAAAATGATATTATTTTATTTATTTTATAATAT